TGAAATCCAGAGCATTCCTACGCCTTGAATAGACTTATTTGTATTGTATTAGTGCAATGTTTTTTTTTTATTAACAATTTAGTTTAAATTGATAACAATTATTAACAATTTATATATATTTAATTGTTTTCAGTTACACAGATGTAAAGCTACCATGTAGATAAGCTGTAATAAAGTCTTTATTATTATTATTATTATTATTATTATTATGATCATTCATGGTCTTCCCAAGTCATATCTTGTTAAACAGAGACAAGGGCAACTTAATGACATCAGTAATGTTGTCCCAACCCCGGGTAAAGCTGATGGTGCCCAGATATCATTCACTGATATACTGAAAGCTCATGTTGAAGAATTTGTCAAACTACACGATGAAGTGGATTGGAGTAAAGAGAAAATTCAAATAAAACTCTCTGGTGATGGGGCAAGAATGACAAGAAATTCAAGTTTTATTTTGCTTTCATTCTCTCTACTTCAAAGCCAAGATGATGTGATGTCTGCCAGTGGAAACCACACATTTGCTATTAAGGGGTCAGAAAGCTACAAAACACTGAAAGACTCATTTGGATTGTTTTTCAGGAGATCAACAACCTAATCCAGGTTAGTGCAATTACAATCAATAACTCAAAATTAAATCTTGAGTTCTTTTTCTCATGCTGGGCATGAAATCTGCAACATCAAATTTTGCATGTGTTTGGTGCAAAATCCACAAAGAATTCTGATGGGTTATGGACAAAGACTTAGAGTATTATAACTCTGTCAGGCTCAGCTGCCTTTACAAACAAGGTGTGGGCATGATGACAAAAAAAGAATGAGCTCAGGACAAGTATTCTTTGTGACAATAGACACTTTATTCTAAATTGACTGGGATCATTTTGTAACTAGATGAATTACATTTATTTGGAGTAATGGTTATGCTTATTAAATAATATTATTAGGTGCTTTTAGGATAGAAGTTTAATAAAAAATCTTTGAAAAATATGTCGCTTGAACCCTCTGAAATCTTCGAACAACAGATGTCATGAGGGTAAGTTTTGATGCGGAGGAAAGCTGAAGGCTCGGGAAGGCATCAGGGGCAGTATGACTTTACAAACCCTACTGGAAGTTGCGAACAAAAAGAAGTTATGACTGGAAATTCCGAATGCAATTGGCCAGAACTTCGTCTGATGCCCACCAGGTATGTTGGATTCGTATTAAAACTGGGAATTTTGGTGGAACTCTACAAAACAGCCAACACTAAACGGAGCAACCAGATGAGGTCTGCCAGCTTGTTAACGAAAGCAGAAAGAATGGTTCGAAGTTTCGCATCGTAAAACCGGATGCCGCCATATTCACAACGGATACGGCGCAGAGCTGACAGTTACTCACTTACATGCGCCGCCCCTAGTATATCATGTACCCTAGTTTATGAAAATGTCAATCTGTGAGAATTCTTCACCACAGTCAAGGGTTGAGAAAACAATGATGTGGCAAGGAGTGTCGTTTTGCACCAAATCAAACAAGCTAAACCAGCATCAGGTGCTGGTAGAATCAAGGCAGTGGGAATTACGCGGCAGCCAGCGAACAAAGAGAGTTTATAACAAAAAAAGATAGAAATTACTGGGAGGTTGAGATTAGGAATAAAAGAAGAAAGGACAGTTGAATGAAAATAACTACTTGAAATTACCCATCTCTGCCAAGACAGGCCCTGTTTTGTTGCATAATCCAATGCATTTGTTTAATAGCAAGGTCAATTGAGCAAAAATATCTAATTTCCATGTCTATTTCTTATATAATTAAATATTTAATTAACCAAAATTAGCACTCTTTTGAGAATTGCTAAGAGTTGTGGCTGTTTTGGCAGAAATGGGTTAAGCTATTGTTAGATAATCAATTTCATTAATTGTGTTTCATGGATATACAAATAAATATTAATATAATTATAATGCTATTTTACACATAGAGATACTTAATTTCCCAGGCCGATATCATGGGCTTGGAATAACTTGCCCATCCCTAAGTTCATACGTCTTCGGGCTCCATGACAGGAATAGTCGAAGCTTAATAGGAGAGCCTATGGCTAAACCATCTCCTATGCTGTCCATTACTCTGTCCCAATCATTTGGAAAATTGCATGCCTGAAAATCAGACTTTTGTAACAGTACAGCACCTCTTTGATTGCTCTTTTCTCCCTTTCCACCAAAAAAAGTATCTAAAAACGTCATGGCGAAAGGGGATGACAGTCGGTAGTATACTCCTGGATTTCAGTTGCTCCAATATACCACAAGCCAAAGCATCTCTTGAATCCTGAATTATTTCATCAGGCATGTACAATGCTGGGTTTTCAAAAGCTCTGAAATATAATACAAAATATGAGTTGTTCTGCCAGAGAATCAATGAAAACCATACAAAATTCTGCACATGCATTATAGATTCCTCTAATGGTAGATCGACTCAATCATGAAACATTATATTTCGAGATGTTTAGGCACTAATAGTACAGTACCTTAATGCGGCGGTATTCAAATTTTCCTCTGGCTCCCAGCTATTTTGTAAGCTGGAGAAATTTCTCCATTTCACATAATAATTTGCCTGTAATAAAATTATTCGAGTGTTAAAAGCAACACATTACCGATCAGTGAGAGCATGGGAGAGAATAATTGTAAATACAGCATATAACGAAGGTATAAATTGTGAATTAAATCTAAAATCAAAGACATTTTAAGCAATTTTAACAATAAACCAGCTTTGAGTACCATATCAATTTAATATACTTTATTATTTTACGCTCACCTTCCCTCATTGAATTCTACGGGAAATCACTCTCTCAACTTCAAATAACTCACACGAAGCTCTCGTTGCCTTTCTTTTAGATGACCTCGATGTTGATTTGCATTCATAAAAGTCGGCCGTGCTCAAATTATTCAACTCTTTGTAAAAAGACATTGTCGAATCTATTTATAATATTTGTTTATCGTCTGTTCGGAGTTGTCACGTGATATAACTATGGATTTGAAGCCGCGCATATGTCACGCGCCCGCGTGGGAACATTTTCTGCGCCCACAATAAAACCGCTGACTGTCCGTGATTTCTGGCCATGGAAAACAGGGTGGACTTCCGTCTACGCATGCGCGAGAAACGTAAGCGTGGAGTGCACGTGAGCGCGGGTTAATCGCGTGACTGAATTATAAAAACAAACATCAAATTTGCAAAAACTACTCGTGTTATGAAGTCGTTTTCTTGTTTCTTTAGTGTTTCTACGCTCACAATTTTAGGCATTTCCAACTTAGAAGTGTTTGCTTTGGAATAAGAACGTGAAAGTAGAAATAAAAACTTTGTTGCAGCAGTTTAATTTCGCAGTGCAAATATACCTGTTTTTAATATGTATATCCTTTTCGAAGTGAGATATACAAGTGCAAATTGACCTTCTTTAAATTCGTACTTGCCCTATTTTTCACTCCATAAAAACTACTTTTATCGATGGAGAAACTATTTGACTCTAAAAATAAGCTTGAATTTTTGTGGTGATATAGGCTCATTTCTTTGCAAACAGTGATTTAGTACTCGGTAGTGTAGTTGTTGTTTATGAACAAAAGTCTAAAATGAATTCAACATCCGTCAACAAAAAGGAGTCGCGCTTATTACTACTCTGTAGAGGATAGACAATTAATTTAACTCACTAGGAACCCGTTCTACAATATAAACTAGAAATCGGCCAACAAATTGCCACGAAATACTACAAGGAAAATAGGGTCTCTGAACTACCAATTTCACCAAACGGTCAAGTTTCTCTGCAAAGATCGCCCCTTTGCCCAATTTTCCTCGAGTAGATCATCGTGTTTTTAAGTCAAGGATTATGTATACTTTAACATAAAAGAATAAAAAAAGTGGTCATAAAGGGTAGATTTTGAATAAAATACGAATATCTTAAACACTGCTGTGCACTATTCCTATGAATTATGATGCCCAACACACCGGGTAACAAAATTTACCACTTTGTTCGGCTGTTCCAAGTACACTTTTAAGATACAAGGTCCGATTATATCATGTTCTTCGAAGCATCTGCTCAAAACAGTCCAACATAAATGTCGCCACTCATCTTCTTCGTATGAAAATATAAGTTTTTCTTTCAATTGCTTTGCTTTAAAAACAGTCATTAGGTTGTTGAAGAGTTAGCCTGCAAGTTCCAACGAAAAAAACCCCGATGCTTTCAAAAACCAGTGAATCACAATGCTGTAAACTTCAACATCCTTAGAAATTGTAAGCAAAACATCGAAAAGCAAAATTTGTGGGAAAAAGCTCACGAGCCCGCACTATTTTCATGCAGCGTCGACGAAAGTCCACCCTGTTGCCATGGAAACATTTAACGATCCCACATCTTATCCACATTCTCGATGATTATCTAATGGCAGCCTCTACCTATCACCAATGTCGCATTAACCTAGTTCGCTCCTTATCTCTATGTAAATATTTGGGTGTACCGATCGCTCAGGATAAAACTGTGGGGCCGCAAATCATTCTTTCGTTTGCCGGAATTGAATTAGACACTTTGCGCATGGAAGCTCGTCTACACACGTAAAAACGCACAAGTTGTAACAAACCTGCAGGCTGCAGCAGACTTGTTGCAATGTGGTTCCAACAACTTGTCAACAAGATGTGTTCGTACTGCTTGTTCCCAGCTTGGTGACAAGTTGTTAACGGCTTGTTGACAACTTGCTACAAGGTTGTTTAGATCAATAGACTTGTTACAAGTTGTTCGAACAACTTGTATCGTCCTGCAATTCAACAACTTGTCAACAAATTGCGAGTGACAATCTTGTAGCAACTTGATAAAATGACAGCATTGTTGCAACTTGTTGACAAGCTTGCTACACGCCTGTTGCGAACGCATCTTGTTGACAAGTTGTGAGATTTTTACGTGTGTATCTGATAAAACTGAAAAATGTAGATTATTAATATCGTCATTTCTTCGACGCGAAAAGGTCACTTTGCGTAAAATTCAATCTTTGGCTGGCCTGCGCTTAATTTCGCATGCTCAGTAGTTGTACCGGGTCGGGATTTCTTGCGTCGATCCACTATAGTGTACATTACACGACGATCCACTATAGTGTACATTACACGACGTAGCAGGGAGAGGCGGAGCGAGAAAGAGAGACTTGTCAACTTCGGAAAATCTCGGTTGAAAACTGAACCGAAAATGGAAGACTTGCTTTAATTGTTTTCCTTCAATTTCTTTCTGTATTATTTACTATAATGGAACTCATGTTATTTACACTGTGCTAGATAAATATATATAAACACGTACAGAAAACAATTAAAGCAAGTCCTGCATTTTCGGTTCAGTTTTGAACCGAGATTTTCCGAAGTTGACAAATCTCTCTAAGCTTTCTCGCTCCGCCCCTCCGTACTACGTCATGTAATGTACACTATAGTGGATCGACACTATATGACAATCAAAGAGAGACTTGGAGCAAGTCTACTCGTCAAGGAGTGGCGAGATATTCTTTAATGAAATATACAAGTCTTGGAAACAAATAAATAGCCAAAAGACTTCTCAATCGATATTATTTATGTGTAGAGCGAAGTTTGGCACGAATCAGCTGAAATCTATGAAGA